TAGGACTATATTTATATAACATATCAGTATTGATTCACGTTCCTTTGATTCCGAAGACTAAGACAAAGGGAGGTAAATGATTTCAACATGTAGAGAGTTATCCCCCTTTCCCCCCAACGTCACGACTAGGTATTGACATTCAACATAACGTAAAGAGATTTTGTCTTTTGTACTGCTGTTTAAAAACCTTTATCAGATCGAACTTTAGGCCAGTATTGCTCTCGTCTATAAAACTCTAATGGGACCTGACGCCCACCATGTTAGAGAACCAGAACAACTCTACTTCGTTTGACCTCTGGTCTGAAAGTGTTGCCTTGTTTTTAACAAAATAGAAAGAACATACAGAGAGAAAATAGTCTGTGTGTATATTATATTATATATATATATATATATATATATATATATATATATATATATATATATATATATATATATATATATATATATATATATATATATATATTGTAGTGTTGGTTAATAAATGTCAGTAATAGCGAAAATAAATTAGTTTTACGGGAAATATATCAGTTACTTAATATTACTTATTTCTTATTTTTAAATATTCAAGGGAAACAACCAAATAAATATTTCAATAAAGACGTTAAAATAAACATAAATTGAATAGTAACGAACAAAAAACATGTAAATAAATAATTTCCATTATCTGTTATATAAGAATTTAAATTTTTGCATCATATTTGTTCCTAAATTTTATAACTTTTTTAAAATAAAACATTTATTTAGATTTATTTCAAATGTAAAAGCCTTAACCGAAATAAATGTATAATTGTACATATATTAAAAACTGTTTATTATAAAACATTAAAATTTAAGCTTAGGTTTGTCTTGACTTATAAAAAGTTATTGTAAAAAAAAATTATGTCGTGGAAAGTTCTGGAATGATAGATCAGTAGCCCGTATGTGTATTACAGAGATGCTTCTCCCACGGTCGTTTCTATTTCTGTCCATGGGTGGCTACTATGTGAACTTTTGACTCCGCAGCTAGGACGGAGCACAGTAAACTAAGCAGTCAAGAGAAACCTAGTTTGCACACCTTATTTTAGTCTAGTTCTTATGCCATTTTATTTTCTCCCTTTGATTATTATATATGCAATTGATGTTCATGTCTTTGATGCTGTGTAAAATCTATCTAATAAATTATTATTACTGATTTAAATGTTAAAAACAATTGAATTATTAAAAAAGGGGGAAAATAAACTGTTTGAGGACTGTATAGATATAGATGTTTGAAAGGGAAGAGTGTTTGCTTTGATGTGTCTCATTGTAATAACATAACTTTTCCGATTGCTTAAAACTTGTATCATTTTAATTCTCTGTAATCCCAAATTTATTTCAGCTCTACTTTAAAACCCAAATTAACCCCCCCCCCCCCTCCTCCCCGTCCCCTCAGCGCACCACGCCGAGGAAATAAACCCATTGAATCATCATTTAATTACACATTTGCATTTCCAGTTTAAGGTTGTTTTTTTTTTATTTTTTTATTTATTTATTTTTTATATTTAGACGTTTTGTATTAGATCTATGTATAAGTAAACCATCTTAAATGAATGAAAGCAGGCTACAAGTAAGAAATAAATATTACTATTGTAAATCTGTATCAGTCCTCACAAGCCGGTGATGAAAACTGTAATACTAAAGCGAACACACAACTGACGCTGTAAATTACATGTCTGAGGCAAAACAAAAAGTAATTTAAAAAAATTTAAAAAAATAAAAAAATTAAAAAAAATTGACACTTTTCCTAGACAGTTACACATTTGCATTTTCAGGTTGGTTTTATTTATTTTTTATTATTTTTATTATTTAGACGTTTTGTATTAGATCTATTTTTAAGTAAACCATATTAAATGAATGGAAGTAGGCTACAAGTAAGAAAGAAATATTACTATTGTAAATCTGTATCAGTCCTCACAAGCCGATGATGAAAACTGTAATACTAAAGCGAACATGCAAGACAAACTGACGCTGTCTGAGGCACAAAAAAAGGAAAGAAAAAAGATAAAAAGCAAAAAGAAAAAGAATTTTTTTTTACACTTTTCCTAGTGTTTTTGCGTTTGATCTTGTAAAAAAATAAAGTAAAGTTCCCTTTTCAAACCTTACGGTCTATGGGGCAAGTGAAGTAGAGTCACTTGTTTCTGTGACCTGGGCATATGAAGAGATAGTGTGGTCAGCACTATGACCAGCCGCCTTTACTTTCCCTAACGTACCCATCAGAGTTGGCTGGACTCAGGAACGGTCTATTGACTTGTACTTACTGGTTATTAGTCCAGCTCTCTACCGCTAGACCACTCCGTCCCTTCGTTTGATTGTGAGTCACCACAATTTCATCATCTGACTTCGCAGATGAGGATGGGGCAACAGTATCTAAACAGTCAGAAGTACAGAGTCGCATCCCCTAATAACACTTTATATCAAAGTAACAATACTATGGTCAAATTTAGTTAGAGACGAACAATACGCACGTATTTTTCTTTATGTAATGTTAGTCCACTTGTCAATCAAGATTGTATTTTTAATTAGTAGCGGTATCCGTATGAAAGTGATGCAGATTCATTTTTAGCAAACATTCAAGAACTTTCAAAAGCGCTAATGGTATCGTTATAATCTAGCAAAGAGTTTTATTTTTAATTATTATACTCAATATAGTGATTATAATGTCGAACCAACATATAACTGTCGAAATGTATTTTAGTTAAATCAGTAAATTAATCATGAATTAAATATTTCCCTCTTTCAACCTTAAAACTTAATACTAGAACCTAGAACCTACAGTATTCCCAATTCCTAAAACGTAGTGATGTATTGTTATATATTCCAAACATGGTCGACTAACCCATCCAAATCCCACCACCACCCACCCGTCTCTATATAACAAGTTTGTGTACCCATACTGCTGTGTATATAAAAGTGTACACATACAGTTGTGTAAATGTATCTGCGTGCATACAATTGCGTAAATGTATGTGAGTACTGTTGATCTATACATAGAATAAAAGTAAAATTTTCTCTGGAGGAAATGAAAGTTGTTAAGAAATTTAAAAAAAAAAAATCTCAACATGCCTATAAGACGTTCACAATACAATAGGGACGCATTGATTTACTTCTCCATCAAATCAAAACGCATCAAAGGCATCACGTGATCCTTTAGATTTACCCGGCTACACACACTTACCTGATTTTTTCCCCCCTCCAGTTTTTAAATGTCAATTTTAGATTCTAAAAAGGTCAGCTTGACCTGTCAAAAAATTCCACACCAGATGAACTGGTTGATCTCAAGCCACTCGCTGAGGGCAGGAAAGGAAAAATCGATCTCCAACAATGAGGATGTTTGTGTATGTTCGTGTGTGTTCGTGTATGTTCGTGCGTGTATGTTCGTGTATGCACCGCTCCCCCCCCCCGAAGAAAGTCTACCGCCCCCCCCCCCATCGGAATGAAATTTATATAGACAATATATACTTTTGACTGTGTCCGCCCCCCCCCCCCCGGAAACCGTTGTCCGCCCCCCCCCCCCCCCACGCCAAAAAAATTTCAAGTGCACCCCTGGAGAAAAAAGTCTGGAAGAAACAATGAACACAAAATCAAAGCACTGTCTATACATGATACAACCCCTCACAACCCAATTACTCACCTGTCAATACATAATACAATCACTCACCTGTCAACACACAACCCAATCACTCACTTGTCAATACACAACCCAATCACTCACCTGTCAATACACAACCCAATCACTCACCTGTCAATACATAATACAATCACTCACCTGTCAACACACAACCCAATCACTCACTTGTCAATACACAACCCAATCACTCACCTGTCAATACATAATACAATCACTCACCTGTCAACACACAACCCAATCACTCACTTGTCAATACACAACCCAATCACTCACCTGTCAATACATAATACAATCACTCACCTGTCAACACACAACCCAATCACTCACCTGTCAATACACAACCCAATCACTCACCTGTCAATACACAACCCAATCACTCACCTGTCAACAAACAACCCAATCACTCACCTGTCAATACACTACCCAATCACTCACCTGTCAATACATAATACAATCACTCACCTGTAGTATATAATCCAATGACTAGCCTGTAATACATTACCCAATCACTCACCTGTCAATACATGATACAATCACTCACCTGTAATACATTGTACAATCACTCACCCATCAATACACAATATATTAATTCAGCTGAGAACATTATATGAAAATTAATGCCATATTGTTCATCGTAGTTAGAATTATTTTTTAAGTCCGCCTTCAAGCCCAAAACCTACCCTCCCCCCCCCCCCCTAATTTGTATTAAATCATTTGCTTTTCCCTACCAATACAAACGTACTATCGTAATTTAGAAGCCAGAAGTGTTTTTGTTTTAATTGTACAGCATCCCCCCCCCCTTTCTATTGAGAATAATATTGTCGACAAAACCCTTCTATGCTAACCTGTCATGAACTACGATACTATAGTAGTATAATACTCTATTATTCAGCCTGCTTTTCTTTACCAAAGCATTTTTCCAACGGAGAACAAACTACAAGGCATCAGTTGTTTGATTTTGGAGTTTTCTCTCCTAGATGGATTGCGTTCCCTAGCTATCCAGCCTCATCCTTCAAAGAATTCGCTGCAAAGTTTTTCATCATTATCTTATCCCGTTCGTGTCCAACACACTTGAGGCATATAACGTAGAGCTCATCTATTTCCATTACCTCGCCATACAAGGGCATATTGTGGTCAGCACTATGCCCAGCCGCCTTTGTTTCCCTAACGTGAGTGAGTCAGGTACCCAACAGAACAGGGTGAACTCAGAGACTCGAGGCCAGGATCCGAACTCGAGACTTTCTGGTTAGCAGTCTAGCGCTCTACCGCTACACCGCTACGTCCCACAACATGAATGAGTAATCCATTTGTATTTTATTTTATCAAATAACGTTTGTTTTTCTTCTCTGCCCAGGTCCAGGGCCTAACCACTATCTCCTGCCTTCCACGGTGGGGATGGTCAACCATGACCCCACACGACCAAAAGCACCCGGGTACTCATTCGGCACAAGATACAGTTGTACGTATACGAGTTTTGTTATTGATCTTACATTTTTTGGCCAGCTGTTAAGTTTTATAGTTTCAAACGTGTAGGCATGTCTAATTGGTTATCTAGCTGAGAGGATAACAAGCTTAGGGTTTAATTAGCTGCATGGTAAAATGAACCCTTCTTAGACTTTAACTATAAAAATATTTAGCTTAAATTTAGGTATTTTTTATGGTAAGTAGCTTAAATGCTAACTGGTTTTGAGATGCATTAGGTAACGGTTTAGTAGTTTATGGGTTAAATCGTTTTGAGGTTAACTAGCTTTAAGGTTTAATAGGTTTGAGGTTAAATAGCTTTGAAGCTAAATAGCGTTGAGGCTAAATAGCTTTGAGGTTAAATAGCTTTGAGTTTGAATATATTTAAGGTAGAGTAGCCTAAAGGTAAACATTAAGATAATTACTAAAAAGCTAAGTGTTAACTAGCCAGGATGCTATTTATAGTTTAAGCTAAGGTAGTAAGACGCGAACAATATAATGGGTTACCGAGATGGAAATTTAATTAGTTTGGATTTTTTAAATAGATTCCATTATTCGTTTAGCGTCCTGGATAATTACATTCATTAGATATCTCCATCCCTACAGATGCCTACTCTAACATCTACTACTACCTACATTCATTAGATGTTTATCTCTACAGATACCTACTCTAACATCTACTACTACCTACATACATTAGATATCTCTATCCCTACAGATGCCTATTCTAACACTATTGACGCCCCTATCTACTACTACCTACATTCATTAGATGTTTATCTCTACAGATACCTACTCTAACATCTACTTCTACCTACAATCATTGATATCTTTATCCCTACAGATGCCTACGCTAACGGGCCTGGCTACTACTACCTACAGAGCGGCCTATACAACAACGGGAAAGAAAACAAAGACGGCTTCACGCTGTACGGACGTCCTAGACGGTCTATATGGGGTAACCAGAGATTTTTTAAGAGGCATTCTTCAGTGAGGGGAGTAGCCCCTGCAGGAGCACGTTTACTGCCTCACTCCCCCCATCCCCCATTCCCCCCCCCCCCACCCCGGGGCGAAATTGGTAAAAATATATTATCTATATAAAACTATGTACTAAAAACCAGTTTCCCCCTCTTGAAAATGCACCATAAAGTTTCAAGACCCCCCCCCCCCCCCCGAGAAAAATGTCTGAAAGAAATACTGGGGGTAAGTTATTGCACTACAAGTAGGTGTCTTCTTTCATTACATAAGGAAAGTAAAGCAAGAGATGGACTTATTTTATTGAAATATGTGGTGTAAAATAATGATGTTATTACATTTTCAGCAAATAATACAATATGATTATGTATTTTGAGAAAATTATCTTCGTCAGGAAAATAACTGTCGTATAAGAATTATGATTACTTTTGTTTTCACTTTAATATTGTCTGAGATTGTTATTTAAACTAACAGCTATTAGAAACGTTCGTTTCAATTTGATTGTGTGCCTTTTTCTATAGGCTACGTTTGTAGCAAATTCATGTTTATTATCTTTCCCCTACACTCTCTTTATTACACCACTTTAAATCGGAAGTTAACCTTTGACCTCATCCTTTCCTCCCCCACCAGAAAACAGTTCCGGCAACTCCCCAGGCCCCGTCTACGCCGTGTCGACGGCCGCCACCGAGAAGAAGACGCCCAGCTACAGCTTCGGGGCGCCCTACAAGCACAACTACAAGACGGAGGGGCCGGGACCTGGGACCTACACTGTGCTGAAGCCGTGGGACTCCAGCAAGAAAGGTCCCCTCCTGTCGGGCAGGCTTGCTAACTCTCAGGTTAGTTGGCAAGTTGATGAGAAATCTGTGATATAATTTTAGAAATGTTCGTGTATAGCATTGTAATTTGACAACTTGGTTGGATGGCGGAGATCACAGCTACTAACTAGTGGCGTAGCTAGGACTTTTGGGCCCCTATGCAAAAAGTGTTAGTGGGCCCCTCAGAGGCGCCCCTTCCCGGCGATTTGCATTGCACCCCCCCCCGCTCAGACTTTCGATTTGCAACCCCTACCCTCAGACTTTCGATTTGCATCCCCCCCCCTCAAACTTTCGAAAAAGGGCCCCTATTTGCCCTGGGCCCCTATGCCTTGCTTACGCTAGCTTTACGGTAGCTACACCAGTGCTACTAACACGAAATTCGCGAGATCGGATCCCTGTAGAACGTCCATCCAGTTCTGACTGGTACCTGGCTAACGTTAGGGAAACTAAAGCAGATGTGCATATTGCTGACCCCACTATCCACCTATATGCCAATGTTATGAAAGAAGAGGAACTCTAAGTGGGCGCGCATGAGTAAATTTGACTAAATTATGTTTTGTAAACAACGTAATTTTTTATGAAATATTTTTATTTTTACTTTTGACATAGTTGAAATATAAAAGGCATACATATCATGTAAATCTTTTTTTTTTTATTAAATCAGGTCGTGTATTACCCTAATGCTAAAAAAATATTATTTTTTTAAAAAGTGCTTGTAATTATATTTTCTAGAGAATATTTTTTCTATGTTGTGGTATATCATTGGCCAAAATGATATCAATTTTAGCTTAGCTCTGCTTAGTTCATAGTCATATCTGATTAAGTTGGTATTCATCATGGCACGCTTCCATTGTCATCAAAAAATGGGTCATCATCAGTAGTCCCACATTTTGTTACGCTTTCGTTTTCTTTACCAAAAGCAAGTGTTAACCCCTTACATTCAGTTTTAAACAAACAGGTATAGGTTCGAAAACATTTACGTTATGAGAGGATGTCTATAAATGTGTGACAAATATGACGAAGGGTATTGGAAAGTGGTGATATTGAAACTATTAAATCCCATTTGTTTTAAAACTAAAAATTATTTTTAAACTTAATTTTAGAGATTGTTCAGCTTATTTTATTATTTTAAAAGTCGTAGGAATAAATTATTAACTTAGCTAATTTTTATCACAGCGAAATCTTTATACATTGCAGAAAGCAATAGCTGTTTCAAAACATAACTATTGTAGATGAGGTTGCATAGTTTGAAGTGTGGCGTCATTTTATGGAAGGGGGGGGGGTGACTTTGTGAAGGTGTAAGAAAATCAGAACAAAAGTGTGATGTTTTTTTTATGCACGACCCCATAATAGCATTGCTAATGTTGCGTTGTTAATAATATTTTTAAAAATATTTTCAATAAAGTTGCTATTTCTCATGTATAGAGTTTCGACTACGATTTCGCCAAGACTCCAGGACCAGCCAGATACGGTTACAACAAGACCTCAACAGGTCCTGCTTACTCCATAGGCAAGAGGACACAGTTGCCAGGCAACAAGCTTATAACGCCAGGACCCAACACCTACCTTCCTCCACTGAACGGGACCCAGCCGAACTCTCCCCGCTTTTCCATGGGGATCCGTCATCACGAGGACGTCATGGTTGTCCCGGAAGTTGATATTGACAGTTACTAAAAATAACCTAGAGTATTATAAACAGATTTAGATTTTTTTTTTATATTCATACAAACGTTTAATTACATGTTTCATTAATTTATTTATTTAATTTTAAACAAGGTACATAACTATGACATAACAATCGTTTAATACCATCATAAAGCTTACTTTAGATATTTTTTTTCAAATTTCATAATGTTATTAAAACTCTTTTAATGGTCAACCATTATTGACGTTCAACTAGGAGAGGGGGGGGGGGAGTCAGAAAAAGTCTACTTACATGCACGCTAGCAACCTGAGGAAGGTGGTTGATGATTTTAAAATTGTACATCAAAACGATGTGACTAAAAACACAAAATATTTAATGGCAAACAAACATATTATACCATTGACTAAAAAAAACACAAACTCGGGGGGTATTAAAATACGGCATTTATATTTTAAAAAATCGTTTCACACCATTAAGTGATTTGGAAACAAAAAATAAAGGTCAATTGCTTCATAAGAAAACGGGGAGTGGGATTCTTGCAAAAGGATGGATTTGTGGGGTGGGGGGGGAGGGTCTAAAAATTGTGGATGGCTCAATATTTAAAAATCATGAAAATCTGAGATCTATACGTCTCTCACCCCCAAAAAATATGAAAAATGTTATTTTAATGGTAAATTTTAAACAGGACTTGTTCATTTCTACAGTTTATCAATTGAAATAAGCAGAAAATTAATCAACGCAAACCCTACAATTATCAGTATTTTTATTTTATTTTACATATAGGGCCTACAATCACAACCGAAAATTCAGTCATGTCTTTATAGGCTACCTTAGCAAAAAAATATTTAGTAGTTTTTCTTTTGTTTTTGTTTGTTTTTTTTTTATTTTGTTTTTTTATTTTGTCTGTTTGTTAGTTGATGGTGTTGCTGATGTTGTTAATTGTAAAAATTTCAACGCAAAATATAAGTATTTCTTTTACGTTTTTATCGAAGCGAACGCTGTGATATTGTTTTTAAATTGTATTATTCAAACCGTTGAATGCTTGTATACAACAACAAAAAATATATTTATATTCTTTTTACTAATGTTTTAAAAATTTTCATTTATTGATATTACCATTGCAGTAATTACGTTTGTGATGTAAAACTATGAACAAGTCCTTACAAACTTTTTTTGTCGTATCCGAGGAATATACACTTAGGGGAGTTAGCTGTTTCCATCGAAAAATAATTATTATATTTAAATAATAGTATAGTTATATATATATGTGTGTATATATATATATATATATATATATATAATATATATATATATATTATATATATATAAACAAAAAGGTATATTTAAACAACATTATTTATTATTGACACACAAAAATCATCATCCCAGTTACCTCCCCGATACATGCCACTACTGATACAAACTAGTTGAGGGCTTCTACTTTACCTTGTTCATAATTTTCGTTTGTCAAATTTTCTTATAATAAAAAAAAAATTAAAAACAAGCTTTGTTGAATATTTTGCTTTGTTGTTTTCAAAATAAAATTTCTATCATTGTCATCAAAGACGTAAACATACCTAAATGGAATGATCAGAAGAAAAAAATTAAAGTTTTTTTTTTTTTTTATGTTATTTTTATCATTGATTGTTAAGCTACTTTCTTGAATGGAAATGTAGCTCGCTAAAACATGCAAAAAGAATCAATTCAGGAATACAAGGCGATGATCTTATACAAGATTTATTCGCATGAAATCTTTTTTTTTTTTTTTTTTTTTTTTTTTTTTTGTATAGTACTTCTAGTGCAAGCCTTATGAAGCTCAATAGATCAAAATAGAAGAAGAAAAAAACATTTTTTTCAATTTATAATATTAAAAGCAATTTAAGGTTAACATCAGTTTTATTTTGTGCTAGATCCTGATTGTTACGTATTTCATGTTTTAATCATAGGGCTGCTGTTGATTCACAATCCCCTATTACTTTCTTTCGATACCAATCACGAACAATTTTTTTTACATTTACTGAATAAAAACTTCTACGGAAAGAAATAAAAAGACAATAATTATAAAGGGATTTGTCGTTTAATACTGATCCAAACAAGCTTCTGGAAAACAACGTTTTATGAATAGCACTAGAATGTGGAAACAAGGAAGCAAAAAGTTTGGTTTCATTGCCTTTTTTATTAAATCTACATTTGATTATTTCTAGTTAATATTTGCATTCGTTTTTAATTTTTTTTAATTAAAAAAAATGGGCTACCTCCCATGTAATTCTTCTAAGAAAAAAATATTTCAATAAGTTTATATAGTTTTATATTGGTCTTAACTTTATTACTAAAGATGTATCATTTATCGCACATTTGCACGTTTGTTAGATGTTAAGCATGTGTTTCGAAAAATTGATTTCTAATAAGTTACAATAATCGTCAAAAATCAAAATAATACAACAATCCCCAGTTTCTATGTCAGGCTGGACAACTCCTACAACAATTACTTTACACTAGTTATCTCCTATTATAATATATTTTCAATACGTTTGTTACATTTTTTTCTAAATAATTACCCTATCTGTATCATCTCTTCTCTAGTAACTTCAATACCACTTTTATAATACAAACTTGCATTCTTACACGTTTACAGTCTCGGTGTATGAGGTTAGTACTTTGTCAGGTTTCGCAAGTTTGATGTGGGCCTACTTCTACAGAAGATGTCAAAATAAAATTATACATATTTTCTTCACACATGTTAGTATTACAGGTCAACATAGGGTTTAACCAACCAAGAACCAACAACAAGGTAGCAGTTATTTGATTTTGGAGTTTTCTCTCTTAGATTGGTTACTGCTCGGAGCTATCGAACCACATACGGCTGTCTAGAGGTTCGAACTCGGGACTTTTCAGTTTAGCAAGTATGAGTTTTACCGGCCCGACCACTCTGATCCCCTATAAATGAACTGATTCGGCAATAGCTCGTTACAGTGTTTCTTCCAGACTTTTTTCTACGGGAGAGGAGGGGGGGCACTTGAAATTTTCGGGGGAGGGGGGGGGGGCGGCTGACTAAAATTTTCGGAGGGGCGAACACTGTTAAAAGTATATATTCTGTATATAAATTCCATTTCGTTCGGGGGGGGGGGGTAGACTTTCTTCGGGGGGGGGGGGGGGGGGGGCTATACCCCTTCTACCCCGAATCCCCCGAAGAGATGCCTGGAAGAAACTCTGGTTCGTTACAATGCGGAAATAAATACATCTAGTTTACTGTAGATCGTTCAAGTTACTATTACGATTGTCTCATCTACAGGTGAGTTAACTCTATTTTGGACATGTAGTCTACATACAGGAAGTGGACGAGAACTTTTTTATAATTCATGTAGATTAAATAATAGAAGTCTCGATTTGGAATCCGGATTTAAAGTCAGTTATGGAAAATTAAGGTGGCTCGACATAGTGCTGACCACATTATCCCTTCATATGCCGAGGTCACTGAAACAGATGAACTCTACTTCATCCGCCCCTGTGTCTTGGGCACAAACGGGAAAAGATGATACAATAATAGATGGTCACTTGTGGTCATTTTTCCATTTCTTGTCGATAAATTTTCCTGGTGTTCTAGTTACCAGATCTGGGACTGTGCCAAGGTTTACCTGATACACTGGGATGTACCCAGTTTATAGTGAAATGTTGCCACATATATATATATATATATATATATATATATATATATATATATATATATATATATATATATATATATATATATATATAGGCCTATAACGTCAGGCTTTTGTTAGCAAACATTTTATGGTCAAAAAAAAGTTTTGTATTGAATGTATAGGAATGTGGGGAGGGGAAAGGGTTTGTAAAGCATGTAACAAAATGTGTTAATAATGTAAGAGAGTGACATAATCAACGTTCTTAGAACTACCGACACTAAAAGTTGGCAAGACAGATCTGTTTCTTAGTAGTACTGCGTGCTATAATTCAAATACAAATGAAGATATTTTTTTTTTATTTATAGATCTGGTACTTAGAAAACTTTATATGTTGTACATGTGCATGAAACCGGACACAGCCGTCACGATTTGCTGAGGAATGTTAAGCTATTTTGAAAATGGCTGTATTCCAAAAACTAAAACACGTCATTCAAAATTTAGGTTTCTTTTTAGTGTAGATTTTTTTTTACCTCAAAATGTTTACTCTTGTGCAGTGGCGTATACACATTCTTACAAGTGTATTTGGAATATATATATATATATATATATATATATATATATATATATATATATATATATATATATATATATATTCCAAATACATTTGTAAGAATGTGTATACGCCAGTGTATATGTATTCAAATATTTTCACTGTGTTTGTCTTTGTAGGTAGGGGAGAGGAGTAATTTTAAAAGTTCGGGGAAACTGAGATGCTTCTTCTGTTCGAGACTTTGGGTACCAGAACGTTACTCTTAAAGGTCCATGGGCAGAACTTAAGTTGGTTTGTGAGAAAAAAAGTTGCGTCCCTTAAAACAACATCAGACAAATGTTTGTGTGTGAGATAGTTGCGTCCCTTAAACAAAGTTTAAATGATTTGTGAGACACTTGTGCCCTTGTAAAATTTTCGTTTTTGGCAATCGGTCTCGTTAAGTTTTCTACTTTGGCAAAGGGACAAGAATGTTATGTTTAAATGACAAAACGAATGTTATGTTGGATAGGTTATGTTCTTGTTGGCATACATGCAAGGTCAGATTGAGGGCGACTATAGCGATATCCGTTACGAGTGTAATGTAAAGAGTGGAAATCCGCTTTCGCACCCCCCCCAATGCTGGTCATTGTATTCAATATGAAAGCCGTAATACATTTTGGACAAATTATTGAACATGTTTTATTGATTATGTTAATTCAGGAAATCCAATTTCTTTACAATCAAATTCAATACTCGTTTTACTTCCTCCTCCTTGCTGTTATTTAAACCGCTTGCTTTGAATCCGTTTGTTATATTTTACTGAACTATTGCTGTAGAATTTCATTTTTTTTTCAAACATTTATTTTAAAACATTCAAAATGCTTAAGTAGTCTTAAGTTTAAAGACGTTGTCCTAAATTAATAGTTTTTGTTTATTTTTTTAACGCGGTGTTTCAAAGAGACGATATCAACAGTCATGGAAAACAAACACAGGATGCTCTTGTTTGCCGTGTTCGTCACCTTCATATTGAATGCTACCTCGTCGATTATAAGCAATCAGGAACTTCTTGAGAAGGTTTGAGAATGGATGCTCTTATAGAAATTTTTTTTAAAAATTTAATTAAAAAATGTTCAGAACAGTAACATAAAAGTGTAATAAATTATATTTAAATTTGCATAAGTTTAAGAGCTGTAGATAAACAGAATATGTTTGCTTGTAATGTAGTTTTATTTTTTCAGCTTATGTATTTTTGTCTTTAACATAATTTACAATAATTTTAACAACAAAATCGTGTGTATATAAATATGTACATGTACTACAGTATAAGAAAAGAGTTCACCATATGGAGGCCTAGCTCAAATGTAAAA